ATTGATTTTTGCTACAACAAATACAAAAAATGCACCATACAGATGCTGCCAACACAATACTCATATCATTTCTGTCAGTAATTCTATGTACCTATGGAATTATTCTATATATATATATACCCTTGAAATGGGCACCCTTAAATCCGCCCCTGGTCATACCATGAGGATTGGTCTACAAGTGAAAAGAGTGATGACGAGTGTTGTAGTCATAATGTTATATTTTTGGAAGATATTCGAAGACTTCGATTACGATTTCTGAATGATTATGTTCTATTGATCTTGATATTGAAATAATTTATAGTCATTTACTTATAAATTTAGGTAACACCAAACTCGAAATACTAATTAAAGAGGTTTGTTATTGGGACAAAGTATGATAAAAGTACTGTTAATAATAAAAAGGTAACCATAAAATAAATATAAAATATATAGACGTCGACTCAAGATGAGAAACAAAACATTGAAATGGTCTCACTTTACTCTGCCACATTGAAATGGACTTCTCTCGATGGCTCAACTCACAACCAGAAGTGGAAACAAAATAAAAAATTGAAACAAATGCGTCGAAGTGAGCTTAGCAACTCTAAAGTGTTCTTCAATTGTCATAGTTCACGAAATTAGTGTTCATTTGTCCAATGTTAGCCGTTATTAATGCAACTACATCTAGTCTTAAAGTAAAATCTTTCATCGGTTAAATTATAATATAATAAATAACGTAAAAGTTTGAATTAGTCCTTTTAAAAAAGTATAAGTTCTCATGGGATTTTACAAGAAAATCAATTTTTTTATGGATTTTTCTTTGAATCACCTGATTTCTTGATTTTTACCCATAAAAAAAATATTCTTTTAATGAAAAAAAAAAAAGAAAAAAAAAGTGAAAGACCGAAATTCACCTCAAATGCTGCGGGCGAGCTGTATGGGCTTGGAGTGTCCAAATTTTCGTAGGGAGGAAAATATATGGAGGCAGGTGTTTAAAGTTTCAAATTCAAAAATCAGAGATCAAGTTTCATTTTTCAAAAATCAGGTGATATATAAAAATTTTTAACTCTAATTTTTCACTCTCTACCCCATCCCCTCCTTTCCCCACTCTCTTCCGGCTCCCCCTCCCTCTCTCTTCCGTCTCGTCTCTGCCACCTCGCCTTCCCTTCCCCTCCACATCCCTCCCCATCCCTCTGCTATGATTCGTAGCAGCGACGGGCTGCTGCGACCCCCCAAAAGCATGGCTGGGTGTGTAATCCGCGTAGAAGCTCCTGGTCGAGTGTCAGTTTATATTTACAGTCTTTTAAGCCTTGTAAGTAGTGTCTCAGGGAATGTGTAAGCGTCCCCCGCGACGCTGCTGTAGGTGTGGTGGTTTGTGGCTGCTGCGACCCCAAGGCAGTATCGCGACGTGCTGTGGGTGTGGTGGTTTGTGGTGGTGATTTTTTTGGTTGTGATTTTGCGGTGGCGTAGTAGTAGATGTGTTATGCGACACTATTGGGGTGTGCGGGTGTGTTGCTTCGAAGTCGTGGGTGTGGCGGATTGGCGGTCGTTTGCTGTTAGCAGATCTGTGGGGTGGCGGATTGGTTGTTGGCTGTTTATATTTGCGGTCGTTGGTGGCGGATCTGTTGTTGTTGGGGTTCAATTTTCGTCCTAGTTTGTGTTGGTCGATCTGTGACCTGTGACCAAGCGGCGGTAGTATGTAATCAAATGTTTGGTAATCTGTGACCAAATGTTTGGTAATATCTGTGACCAATTACTCAACTGT